GGGGGGGGGGGGGGGGGAGCAGTTTATTTTTATTATGTTATTTTTTGGTTGCACCACTTGTTGCAACTTTATGCTATCCTTAGTTTCAGACAATCTCGGTTTATGGGGGAGCTTTTTTATGTACTATCTTTTTGTTAAGATGTATTGTTATTTTCTCCAGACCGTGTTTAGGATAATATAAGTATGTTTTCTATTTCTGAGTATCTCAGTCATTATAACCCCGTGTACAGAATATTTGTTACTGGTATGGTTGTCTTCTTCTTCGTATTTCATTTCAGGTACTTGTGAGACAACGAATTAAAAATGTGGAGATTGAAGATGTATGGCCAAGACGATGATGTAGCAGTCATAAGTAGTTCATGAAGTGCGACATGAACTACGACTACAAGGCGAGTGGGTTGAGAGAAGCACAAGTCATGAGCATTGTATTAATGAGAGAGTTAATGAAGCCTCGTTTAAAAAGGCAAGTCTTGAGAAAGAAGCAATCGAATCTTGGAGAAAAGGGAGATTGGCTTATTCGCTGAAGAACAAGAAATGGAAAATTTCCGTCAAAGTTAGATTCGCAAACCTAGGATGTTATCCGCATATAAAAAGGAGGTCTAGGTGTTGTAAGAAGGCTAACACACATAGAGAGCTTTTAGCAATATAGGTTTTGTACGTCCGGAAAAGGAGAGACAAAGCATCTAGGGGTTAGAAGCATAAGTAGTTCAGAGACTGTCTTAAGTCTGTGAACGTGTAAGACTAGTCAACAAGTCAAGGTTTATCTTGAGATTACTAGAAAAATTGATTTTATAAAGAACTTTATGTACTTTTAAAAGGATTAATCTAGTCGTATTTCTTGAGAAGATTTATCCCTATATTACTATGTGTTTTACTTAATATAGCTTGATTATCTTACATTAACAAGTCTTACCTTGCTGAATTACGAAGCCATGCGTTCGTGGTGATGGAGAGGCGGTCTCTCATCAACGTGAGAGAGGTCAAAATCATCTATATTGTTCTTGCTTAGTGTGTCTCACTTTCTCTCACAATCTCATGATCCTTTTTGGGTTTTGATTTCCCTACCCACATTTGTATGGGAAATCTACTGATGCCTACTAGTGTCTTTTTTTTTTTTTTTTTGTCTCTGGCCATTTTGGTTCAGAATTGTAAACACATTTTTGATTAAATTACAAGCGTTAATAAAAGAAAAACAAAACTCTTTCGGTTGTAAGAAATCAGCTATGTCGAAGTATGGTAAAAATAGTTAATTTATACGGTTCAACAATATACAATTCCTTACATATAGAATATTTGGAAGTATATATCATCGGGACCCAAGAAATCAGTTTAGGCTTATCTCGGGTTCACGCAGAGTTTTAGGCATATCCTCAAAATTATTATTTTTTCTCCAGTCAGCATACATCCAAAAGTATATGTATTTGACTATTGAGATTACAATTCCTATTACGATAATCAACTCAAATATGAATATATGAATGGAATAAAACCACTTTCTTAAATGATGGATAATTATAGTATCATAAATTATGAAAATATTACATAAAATTCTACAATAGATAGTCTTTTGAAGATTTCCGTTTGTGAAGATTTACGACTGACTGCATCATCAAAATCACCCTATGAAATCTACGTTTGGCTTGACAATATAAAACCAATTAGACTAAGAAAACTGAATCCCAAGTAATGAGTTAATAGAAAACCACATTTCTTGATTATTGAAGACCTTACTAAAAAAAGAAGAAGATTTATTATTACTTTGATTATAGGAGCTTGATGAAGGCTAGTGTTTCTTTAATATAGGAGCTCCATTTCCATACTTCATATCTCTCTAGTTGTGCAAATTTGTTTCCTAGTTTGTAGGATTGTTAAGTGATCCTCTTATTTTTTTTCTTTTTATGTGCAAGGTAATAGCCATACAAAATCAAAAGCAGTTTATCTCCTATAGTACATAACATAGGAAGCGAAATATTTTAGCAAAATGTATTTTAAATATCCAAATATTTTCTGTGAAAAGTAAACAAAAAGACTCTTAATTCTTGGTAATTTTGTATCATAAACTCAGTATATATATAATCATTAATATTAGGGCTGAGCACAAGAGCCGGTACTTGCTATTTTAACAATACTTGTACTTGACTTGTTAAAACTGAGTACTTATTATTTTGAATACTTATTCAAGAATGAGTTACTTGTAGTTACTTGTTCCGCTTTGTTACTTGCTACTTGTGATTACCTGTAAGCTATGTACATGTAATTTTAAGTATTTAATGATTACTTGGTAGATAAGGTTCTACTTAAAATAAACATAAGGGTTTATTTTGCTTATTCTACTAGGAAAGAACACAAAAGTTACTATAAACAAAATATTTGTGCATATCATAAAAGAAAATGTTAAGACTCTAATCTAGCATCTACATTGGCCTGAGAATAGTTGGACATGGAGACAAGAAAATGGGCCGAGCATGAGGAGAGGGTTTCAGCCTGATAATAAACTTCGAGCTCAACCTCGATTAAGTTAAGAAGACCCCAAGATATCCACAGAAGAATGAGCAAATGGTGGAGATGATATCAGGAGACAACAACTAGAGCGAGTATAAAAGGAGGGAGAAAACAAGAGAAAAGGATACACTCACACCCGTATACGAACACACATACATCGACTCATCGATCTCTCTCCCTCAAACACATCAACCTCGTTTTACTCTATGTTCTTTGGCTTGTTCCATTCTTGTCATCAATTGTTGATATTGTGAATTCAGTTATCATCAATATAAATATATTTTTGTTAATTTGAATCAGATTACATCATTGTCTATGGATCTTTGTGCCACATATAAAGTTTTCTTCCCTAATTTATAAATATAAACACTCTCAAATACTTAATGTGAGTTTTATGATCCGCATAGAAAAATGAAAAAAAAAATGAATCCCTCTATAGGAGCACTTCTCACAATAACACATCTTCTCTCAGCATGTAACATGTAATATCAAGCTGGGTAGGTAAAAAAAATATACTTGTTACTTGGCTTCTATTTGAAAGTATTTAATTCTACTAGTTGATACCCAATTTGACAACTAGGAATACTTGAAAAATTGAAATGATTACAAAGCGAGTAAAGAGTATTTGTCTCCAAATATCTTCGTCGAGTAAAGAGTATTTTTCAACTGGCACGATAAGGTTTTCCAAATCTCTTCGGAGCTAGAGCTGTTCTTGCTCGTTCCGCATCATTCCAAACTTTGCAGTTTGGTTTAATCAACGTCGATTGCGACTATTTCATGCTCGTGGTAACCTATTCAGGGATGCATCTGAAGATCTCCCATGGTTATCCGCTTGTCGATCAAGCATCTCTTGTTAACTTATGTTATCTCTTATTCTGCTACTATGTTATGTTTTATGTTGTTCATCAAACCATCGAGGTTTTCTCCTGTTAGTATCTTCTTACCATTGAGCTTAGCTCTGGATGTAATCGTTTAAACGCGTTTTAGATTAATATAATCGTTTGTGTGACAAAAAAAAAGAGAGTATTTGTCTCCACCTCTAATCATGATCTCTATTCAAACCATGACATGAGAATAAAATATCACAAGACTACAAATAAATACAAATTATCCATTAAGAAACAAAAGCAAACACATAAGAAAAAGGAAGACATGACAAAAACTAATTAAGGACCGAATACTCTTTTGTTTTTTTACTCGAATCTATGATTTATGACGAGATGCGAACCGGTTTACAAGAGCCAAGGCGTTACTAGTAACTCGAGCCACATGCACCACTCGTCTTCTGATCGCCATTTTCACCACACCATCCATAACCTTCCCATCAAACCCATCAAGACACGTTGTCTCATCCGTTAAAGCAGCACTAACCCAAGTCTCAACGTTACTCAGCCGCCACAAGAACTCGTCCCGACCACAACCGGATCGACACACTTGTTTCATTTCCCTCATCGACTGAGCCAACATCGTTAAGCCATCTCCAAGATTCTCCACACAATCCTTCACGGCTAAGTACTCTCTGCGTTTGGCTTTTCTTGCTTTAGTCAGCTTAGCTACGTAGGCAGTCGTGGACCGAACCCGGACTAGAGTAACGGCTAAAGCGGTTTGAGCTAACCGGTTTTCGTTGCGGCGGATTTTGCTGGCAAAAGCCGCGAGGCATTTGATGCAGAGAGTAGGGTAACGCGTGGTGCGGCATGAGGATACGATGAAGTTGATGCTTTTTCTATGGTTTGCTGATGATGAAGGATTGGCTATGGCAGACTGAAAGAGTAGTGGAAGAAAAAGTAGAAGGCAATAGCAAAGATGTGGCAGCTTTGGTTCCATTGTGTGTGTGGGGCTTTTCGTTCAATTTGTGGAGTGATTACAAGGCATGTGTTTGGTATTATTTATAGGAGAGTTCGTCAACTTTTTTCTCTAAAGATAATGTTTACAAAGACAAATCTATGAAAATGTTTTAATCAGGATTTTTATTTTTTTCTTAGCACATAAAATTACTTTTTATCTAAAATATCAATCGATGTCTACAGAAACTGAATGTAATACAATTTATTGTTGATAACTGAATGTAAACAATTTATAGTTGATTTTTAAGTACCACCATAAGGTTATGCACTAAAGCCCGTAATTGTTCTAATCAAAACCACATCATGTAATATAATAGTATTAGTTTTGTCTCAAACATCATTTTACTATGTGACCTTTTACCTTTAAGCTCTGTATGTAGTTTCCAGTTGAGATACCAACATTAAACATTTTTTTCCTCTACATCTTATTGAGAACCGACTCTTGCCAGAAACGAATGAAGCACTGGCTTGCGACCGCAAATTTATTAAGTATATAGCCGGCCACATAATTACCAAAACTTTCAATGGTCCAGTTGTTTGTTTTTTTCTGTGACTATGCGAGAGGCTGAATTCGAATCCCATAACGTGCATAATATTTTTTTTTAAAAAAATTCAGCTATTTTTTTTTTTGGACTTCTGATCTTTAAAAGTCTATGGCCGGCTCTAATCTTATTAACCCCAATACTTTAATGAGAAAAACACCCTCTAGGCAGTTAGTTATCCAGGCCGGAGTAAGATCATTTACAAAATGTACATCAATATACTCTAAAAATCAAGCAATGTGGAATAACTGAGGGATACTGGATACGTAACTAATTTTTTTCAGAGCAAACTAAACTCATCTCTGAAGTTGAAAAATATAATGCAGTATAGAATAATTATGTCTATCTCTCTACCACAAAATATGTAATAGGGGATATGGTGGTCACATGTCTTCTTTTGGTCCTTTAATAGCTTTTGCGTCATCTTTTGATATCTTAAGTGCCTCTAATATCAGCTTTATATTTTTAGACAAGAACTTTTTGAGTCTCTGATGGTACCCCAGATCTGCTTTTAAAAGTAAACACTTCCATAGTTCCTTTAGATTTAATGTCAAACTGTTTTTCCAAGTTTACAAATTGTGATATGTCTCGTCGTAAATTCTTAAGACTATGCACAATAAATGTGTTAAATAAAAGATTAAACAGTTGAGTTATTGCAATGGTGTTGAAATATGATAACTGATGATGTGGATTATTTGGTGTTGAAAAGATTCAACATGTTAAATAAGAAGAAAATTGGGGTCATCTATAACATATGTCACTTTTTAAATTTTTTTGATATTTTCATATTTTCTCACTTCTTTAAAACCAATAAGCTCATTATAAATTAAATAATTTATTTTTATTTTTCTACGAAATTATCATTTTACATTATATATAAATAGATAATTTATTTTATTTGAATATAAAAAATAATTATTAATTAAGAAAATAGGATATTGAAAATTATTCAACAAAACTATTGTAGTGGATAAAAGTTAAATATACATTGAATGATAATGTGGAAAAAATATAAACTGATGTAGAGTGTTAAAAGATGAAGTGGAGGATGTTGAATCTTAAAACCACTGTGGATAGTCTAAGAACAAACAATTCATATTTGTAAGTTTATATTCTCTAAATATTAAGAGTTTCAGAAACTAAAAACGACGAGATGGGTTTGTGTTTGTTCGTCATACAAACGAGTTATTGGGTAGGTATAACCTATCTTTTGAATATTGTATGTTATTGTATTGTCAAATCCACTACCATTAATCTTTAGAGTAATTTCTAACTCTGCCATTGGTATAATTTTAAACAAAAATGCAACACACTTATAATATCTCATATTGTTTTGTTATATTCTAACTATCCTGTTATCTTTCACACCTGATTTTAGGTGATGATTGTTTACATTAGTTTTTGTTTTTATTTTTTGGTTTTTAGATTTGGTTTTTGATTTTTTAGATTTTAGATTATTGTTTTCGGCTTTGAGTTTTTGGTTTTGGTTTTTAGTTTTTAGATTTGTTTTTTAGTTTTTCTGTATTTTTAGGTTTTCAAACAATAATCAATACCTTATTTTAAAATAATAAAATAATAATGAAATATTTATAATTTATCACTAAAATTTATCAAAATATTGTGATTGTTATTTAAAATAAAATATAGTAACATGTTTTTAATTATTTTTATTTTTAAATAGTATACCAAAATTTAAACAATAAAATTTCTATAAGTTATAAAAATTAAAATATTTTATAAATTTTAAACTATTTATAAATTTTCTTATATGTTTTCTTTATATTTTAAAACCTGAAGGGCTGTTTTCAAATTTAATATTATATATTTTATTAATAAAATAATTAAGTATTTACAATTTTTAATTATTTTTAGAGTGTTTAATAATTATTAAAATTATTCAATGAATTTTATAGAAATTAATAACTCATTTTTATAAAATTAATAACTAATTTTTTATAATTAATTAATGTTATATGAAAATATCCAAATCATATATGAAACACAAATAAATTATTTTAAGTTAAAGTTTGAAGGATATATTATCTACAAAGAATTGTATGGATAATTTATCTTTATGAATATATTATTTATTTAACTAAAATATATATTTTTTTACAAAAATAATGAAATTCGTTTTTGTATTAAAAACCTACATAATTTGGTTTTTGGCTTTTCTTCACAAATTGGTTAAAATTTTGAAAAACTAATTTCTCTAAATTTTAGGGAACCTATTTGTTTAAAAACTTGATTGGCAAGAAAAATGGTTTTTACAAAAGCAAAAATCAAAAACAAAAACTTGATCGGAAAAAATGGTTTTTAGAAAAATAAAAACCACAAACAATCAACCTTTTAATCTTCCACCGAGAACAAATACCCTTACAAAGAGTAGCACTTTTATATCTCTTACTGCGTTGAGTTTTACGGTAGTGTAACACTATTAATCTTCCGCCGGGAACAATATACCCTTAATTAATTTCAAAGAGTAGCACTTTTATATCTGTTACTGCGTTGAGTTTTAACGGTAGTGTAACATTATATAATATGTACGAGAACGTTCACACATACATGTAATCACAATAATATAGACAATTTTAGAGCAAACTAAGTTATAATTTAAGAACATTTGTTAAATATAATTCAAAACTTGGTTTCAAATGCAAAAGTAAACTCAAACATGAATTAAATGCAAAGTAACTTAAAATGCTATTAAAATTACAAACAGTCTCTTGTGAACAAACAAAAAACCCGAATTTTTTTTATGTTCAAACCCCTGTAACTATTCTTAGGGTTAGATTTTCGAAAATATAAATATCTTTTTGAAAAATTTAACATTTACCTAAGTGTGTTTATTTATGTGTATAGTAAACACTCTTTAAGTATAATTTGATTTTATAACGTGGTTAGTTAGTTAATTTAGTCAATTTAGTTTAGGGTCTGCACGACTTACTATTAAGTCGTTTGGTAAATATATTTAAGGTAGACGACTTACTAGTAAGTCGTCTGATGTATAGTATCAACCGACGACTTAATAATAAGTCGTCCAAACCAGACCGAACCTTTGATTTTACCAATTTACTTTTAAACCTAACTGGATTTTTTTTTCCAGACATATATAAGATATTTTTTTTTACTCACTTTTTCGCGAAATTCAGAAAACCCTAACGTCGTTTCTCTCTAAGGTGATTTCAAAGGCGATTTCCGTCGAATCTCTCTAATCCATCGTTCTCACCGCCGGTTATCTCTCCGCCTTACCACCGTCGTTATCACCACTGTTCTCACCGCCGCTTCCTCTATTTCCGATCTGAGAGGAAACCCTAGCGCCGTTTCTCTCAGAGGCGTTTCGTTGAACTCTGCCGCAGGTAAGTTATATCTAAAGAAGAACATAAAACATCGTTCTCACCGTCATTCTCATCGCGCTTCTTTTTCACGTCTATTTTTGTAGATTTATAACCGCTATGTCGAAGGCGACTATATCTTCTCCGAATTTTCAGGTCAGCTTTCTAATGTTCTAATGGAAGTCTTGATAGACTTATAATTAAGTCGTCTGGAAAGTCTTCCACCTGGAAGTCTTTCAGAACAACTTAAATATAAGTCTTTCAACTGGAAGACTTGTCAGACGACTTAATTATAAGTCGTCTGGAAAGTCTTCCAGACTCATAATTAAAATGTTATACTGGATGGTTGTGTGTTTGAGATGGTTGTATTTTATTGTTTTGCAGAAAAAATGGATATTCTAGAACTCCCCTGTAGAATACATATAGTAGGGCAAGAGCCCCCCGCATTGCATAGCACTTCGTATCATCCGTGTACAAAGTTGTATAGTGCTCTAAGGAATGCTCTTAATGATGACGACTATGAAGAGCTGAACGACTCTAAGTTGGGAGTTTTCATCAAGTTCTAAGAGCTGGAATTTGAATGGGCTTCAAGGCTGATTCACTACATGCTCGGTTTCCAGCTCGACATAAAAAAGAAGTATGAGCTGTGGAGTCTTGTTGGTCCACAACCTTAGAGGTTTTCACTATTACAGTTTGAATACCTCAATGTTCTAAACTGCGAGTACATCGAGGAACTTGAGAGACCAAACTGTTATGTTACAAGGGAGTAGGCTGCTTTCTGGGAGTTGTTAGGAGTTAATGTCGAAGCTAGGCCAAGTACTGATCAGATAATAGAAGCATTTGAGAGATGCGCAAGGTGGTCTCCGGATGATCGCAAGAGGCTCAGGTACCTTTCCATCTTCACTAGATACATTGAAGGGAGAAATTTTTTAGCCCTTACACAGGCTAGTCTGGCAAGGCTACTGATGGATCTAGAACGGTTTGAGAATTATCCATGGGGGAGAGTCGCGTTTAAGGTGTTGATGGACTCTGTGAAGGGCAAAAATATATCGGATTGTTACACCATTGATGGGTTTATACAATGTCTCTAGGTCTGGGTGTTCACAGCTCTGCCGAAATTGAGTGCTACTTATGGTAATCCCACACCAAACAGACCGTCTCCACCGATACTGGCTTACTAGGGTGGCAAAGGACGAAGATGCTTTAAAGAAGCTATTAATGAAAGAAATGTATTTACTTCAATCCAAAAGAATTTTTGAAAACTTAAGATTAAGTCGTCTGAAAAGTCTTTTGACTGGACGACTTAGTAGAGGATTTATAATTAAGTCGTCTGTAAAGTCTTCCAACTGGATGACTTAGTAGAGGACTTATAATTAAGTCGTCCGGGAAGACTACCTAGACGACTTAATAATAAGTAGTTTGCTAAGTCATCCAGCTAGAAGACTTTCCAGACGACTTATGATTAAGTCGTCTGCTAAGTCATCCAGCTGGAAGATTTTCCAGACGATTTAATCATAAGTTTTCCGCGAAGTCTTTTCTTTCCATCTTTCTTAATCCGTCAAATATCTAAGTTTATATAGACTAGGGTGATGAAATTTGTTGAGAAGAACATTAGTGAAATGTTTCCAAAATGAGACTCTGATGCTAATGACCTGGCCGCGGAGAACATAATTAAACTCATGTATAATCAGAGACCGTGGAAGTCATCTAGTAAGTCGTCTGATATCTTCTGACTTGTTTTATTTTAAATGCAGCATGTTGATGCTTGGATTAATGTGCTGAGGAAGAGGTACGATGAAAATCCACAAGCGTTCAGGAGCGAAAGGATTTACTTCCTTGATCATCTCTTTTCTCAGCAATGGAGATTCAGCTACTCCGATTTTAAAGAATCGGAGTGTGATCACAACGGTTTAGGAAGAAGACTCCCTGGTGGTGCGTATAATTATTATTCAGGCGCTATACCATCATTTTGCCAGTCGAACAAGATGTGGGGGTGGATATTGATGATATCTATGCGCCAGTGAACTACAAAAACTGTCATTGGATTGCTATATGGATACCGATCCCTAAGACACACATAATCGTCTGGGACAGCATTTATTCCTCTATCTCCTACGAAGAACTTAAAGTGGTAATGGAGCATTTTCAGAACATGATCCCTTATCTGCCTGTTGAGTGCTCTACCTCTGATGAGCTACGTGCCCAATACTCCCTGGAGCCATTCACATTTAAACGTGAACCCAATGTGCCTCAGGTCCGAGCTAGTGATTGTGGCGTCTACGCTCTAAAATACATTGAATGTCATGCTCTTGGGCTGCAATTTAATACAAAAGACTTTGCTAAGGCCAACGCCGACATGAAGGCTATTAGGGATAAGATGGCGGTGGATATATTTAATGAGCTCCTTGACCCGCATGAGTATGAAAACAAGGATAATTTTGAGGAGATGGGTGCTTATGATTAGGCTGATGTTTGTATGTTTGTATTCGAACTTGATTAGGCTGATGTTTAGGATGTTTGGTTGTATGTTTTGTTTGTTGTAACCTTATTTTTGCACAGAAGACTTTCAATTAATTAGGCTGACGTTTGTATTTTTGTTCCTTAAATTTGGTAGAAGACGAACACAAATTCTTAATACCTACTCATAAAGCCTGGACGACTTAGTAGAAGACTAACACAAACTTTAATACATACTCAAAAAGTCTGGACGACTTAGTAGAAGACTAACACAAATTCTTAATACATAGATTCATAACACAAATTCTTAATACATAGATTCATAACACAAATTCTTAATACATAGATTCATAACACAAATTCTTCTGGACGAATTAATTAAAGGTCATTCTTTACATTGTGCTTTTGTATGGCCAGTTTCTCTGCATACTGAGCATCTATAAACCCTGTGTTGCTTCCGGGATTTGCGTCCTCTCATCCGGGATAGCTCCAACCAAGATTGCCATCTTGATTTCTTTTGTCTCCCGGACCACGCTTTTTGGCCGGAGGATCGCATGTGTGTTCCTCAATTTGTTGTCCAGCACAAGGATATATATTCTCTGAGTATCCTGCAAACAAATAATTCTTTGAGTACACTGGATGTACAAGTGTGAAGATATGCACACAAGCATGTGATCCAGCAGCTATAGCATGAGAGCAAGGTATTTTCTCCACTTGATAGACACCACAATCACACTTTCCATTCTCCAAATCAACCACACAGTCTATTTTGCCACCTTTCACAAAGAATTTCCATCCATCAATTGGTTGGGCCCTCATTGTATCCGCTATCTGTGATTGAACAACAAGTACGTATTCAACACCCTGACTATGATCTGTTAGGAGACTCAAAGCATCTTCTCTCATTTTCCAAAATCACTTTCCTAGCTTCTCCCTTATGAACTCCAACCGGAACTGAATCGGAAATCTTCTAGCTCGCTTCAGTGCGGAATTAATAGTTTCAGCGATGTTGCTTGCTTTTATGTTGTACATGTCCCCCTGACAATAAACCCTTGACCATAGGCTAACGTCGGTATTCTCCAAATACGTTGCAAGGCCAGAGTTTGCACTCCGTATCTCAGCCATGTACTGGTCAAAATCTAAAACTGTATGAGCATAAGCAGCACTTTTCACCAAATACAAGAGATGTTTCTCTTTATACTTTTTGTCAATGTTATCTTGAAGGTGATAATAACATATTCCTCGGGTTGCCAAAGGAAATACCTTATCACACGCACTTTTAATGGCGGTGTGCCGGTCGGAGACAATCATCAGAGGCTGCTCATCAGATACACAAGTAGCCAATTTTGTGAAAAACCATTCCCATGAAGGTTCATCTTCAGCATCTACGATCCCAAAAGCCAATGAAAATATTTGAAAATTCCCATCTTATGCGACTGCAACTAACAAAACACCTCCATACTTCCCACTTAGGTGAGTTCCATCCACCACAATGACCATTCTCTGATACTTAAAACCTTTGATAGAAGCTCCGAAACAGAGAAATAGATACTTAAATCTATTGATGGAATCAAGTTCTATAACTGTGATAGAATCAGGATTTGCTAAGGAGATTTGCTCGAGATATGATGGCAGACGCGAATATCCATCTTCTGTTGATCCTCTCACCAATGTTTGTGCATATAAAAGTGCTCTATATGAAGTGGTGTAATCAAGCATCATGCCAAACCTGTTCTTCATTGCATCAGTGATATGTTGCGGAGCCAACCCATCAATGATTCCAACACGATCAATGAAAAGCCTACCAACATACTTCGGAGTACAGTGTCTCCGCTGATCGATTCGGTCTCCCACTGAGCATGTATGTGTTTCCACATACTTTGTTATCCAAAACGTGTTTGTCCCATGTTTCACACTCTCTCTGATCTTCCATCCACAACCACTTACCCGACATGTTGCCACAACGAGAGTTTTCGTTGACTTATATATTCCATCCAAATTTATGTTTTCAAATAGTTTAAAGTCGTATATCAAAATTAAAGAAACAAAATATTCATTTCTAAAATATGGGTTGAAGAGGCTTCATATAAAACCTAAACCTCTTTCTTTTTTTTTTTCTCTTCATATGGAATGTTTTATTGATATATATATAACCGAGACAAAAAAAATTCAGAACCCATTTTGAAAATTCAATGTCGTGGATATTAATTTGGTCCACTGAAAATTATGTTACCAAATATAATAAAATCCCAAATTTCAAGTTAAATAAATTTGCATAATCCCATAATGTAGAAACACATATAATGAAATATTTTCAAAATTTGGAGAGATGAAATATATATGATAAACATTTCACCCCGTGTAAGGCACGGATATTTACCTAGTGATGTATTAAATAGCATCATCGCATAAATTTGTAAATATATATATTGGCCATGACCTCACCTCGGAAATTCAAGAAAAGCAACAGGCTCAAATCACTTCCATACTCCAGAAGTGTCACTAGTTCTATGTCTACTATCAATGGCAGGGATAAAAAAAGGTTATGTTTTTCCACTATAACCACAAGTTTATCTCCCAGAAAAAAAAAATCAAATCTTTGTTATTCCATCGACATTTGAAGACAAGGAAGAATCATAATTAGATAAAATAAAGTAGATAAACATAATAAACAAATATCTCAACTGGTCCAAAGAAATAAAAAAGGAAGAGAGAACTACGTCCTAAGACAAATGAGATGATCTGAACATTCACCATTGAGCTAGCTTCACATGTAGTCAATAGCTTTCTTAGGTGGCCTAATCCAAAGATTCTCAACAGGACATAAATCCTCCTGTTCTTGCCACTGCTTACGTGGAAAGTACCTCTCTTCATCAAACGAATACGATACACAACACTTGTTGCTTAAACGAAGCTTCGGGAAGTAAACACTATGCCTCATCCATGGGAGATTAACTCTCATCTCATAAGAGTAAAGACTCGTAAAGATTGTCAAGCCATCAAGCGTAGTACTATTGATTTCCTCCCAGCCCGAAGATTCATCTAGCTTATACACCATAGGTTTCTCACCTCCGCATGTATATATTGAAAATAACACTCCTTTACGCACCGCCAAGAAAACTCTTTTTTTCTTTCGCTCATATCTAGCAGTGATATAAGGACACGGCTTCGAGTACACATAACTGAAAGACCATTCTCGAGAAGACGGTTCAAAGTAATATAAGCGTCCATCATCGTCTAGGCAATAGAAGCGACGGTTTGCATAGACAACATTGCTGTGGTTAAGTGAATCACTTCTATAACGAAGATAACAAACTAAACCGTCAGTAACCCACTCGGTTGCTTCGGGATGGCAAGTGCTTGTAGTGAGTCTAGTGACGGTACCATACTCAACAGTCTTGAATGCTAGCACAACACAAGTACCTGATGTAGGTGCACACGAGAAAGCAATTGCATCATATGATAACTCGAGCTTTGGTAAGTTTATGAGCTTACGGGTAAACGGATTGAAGAAAAACATTTGGTGTGAAGCGGTCTTGCGCATAAGTAACCATCCGTCTCTTGAGTAACACACTATGGATTTAGATAGCTCAGGTAGATTCAGTGTGTACATCTTCTTTTGCAATGGGTCGTACATTTCAAACGAGTTGCCACGTTTAGGTAAGTACATAAGCCAAGGAGGCTTGTCTACCAACCGGACATATAGACCGGCTTCGCGCCATGTTTTGCAGGCAGCAGAGGCGCGTATGTTATCTTTCAAGTCAAGTTGAGATATTATTACTTCTAGGAGGCACAATGGAAGGTCAGCAAAACTTGGGTTTGCTGCTTCTGTGCTCCCTTTCTTACGCTCAAGGAACCCATTTCCTTTGACATCCACGCTTGACCTATATGAAAGAGTTTTGGATCAACAAAACACACTGAACTTTGGGTTTCCTTGTGACTAACTAATAAGACATCCAAGTACAAAAATCTATGCAAACCAAAGTTAACTTGAAGTGAAAGCTTTGATGTTTAAAGGGTTTCAGATCAGAGTTAAACTGTGTGTTTAATAATATATAACGTTAGGAATCTCTAAAACCATTTCAGGTCCTATAAATCTGATAAGTTTTACAAAATTACACAGAACTGGAAATATAAGGTGCTATAATCTTATGGGAATTTCCTAATTATCTTTAGGTTAAGATCCCCCCGGTGTGTGCATAGCTTAACAAACCTAAAGCATCTCAGATCTTCAAAGACGCTTGAAAGAAAACCACGAAATGTTTCATGATTAGAGTATAGAGAAGATGGAAACTCACGAGTAAAGCGTCCCTTTCTGGCTAGCCATAGTGATAGACGTGAGAGATGAGGATTTGTAGCACGAGCCATATATTAAAAAGATTACAGTAGGCAAAAAAAGAAAAAGTAGCATCAAGAAGAATGGCCAAAACCACTCGTAGCCCTTTATATATATTATTTCAAAAAACCCTAATTTGTGGGACCAAACCAAAGGGGGCCATCATATCGGCTAAATGGTTAAGTCTGGTTTTGGCTGACTTGGCAAAACATTGAATGCGCCGCCTTATAACGAAAATACGAACGCAAAGTGTACAAGACTCAAAAAAAAACCGGTTCGTGTTCTCCAGTTTATTTTCAGATCTGTTGGCTTCGGAATTGAATCGGCAGATGTCGGATCTTCATAGTTATCCGGTGGAGGATAAGCGTAATGAGATTGTGGTGATGGATGATAGTCAAATGAGTCGCGGTGTTGAAATCCAGCCATCAATCTCTTATTCTCTCTTCCACGAGGTATTGAGGAGGTGGAAAACCATCAATCATCTCTATATATCTACGATCCCTTAGGCTTCTTGTACATGCAAAGATATCCAAGGCTTGCACCTGGAGGCAAGGAGACAGAAGCATCTTTTCCCCAAGCTTGGTCAATGATCAATTTTCCAAATTTTAAAGCTTCCCTCGTCGTCGAAGAAGAAGCTGAGAGTTCGGAGCTTATGCTAGTAAATTTCATCCACTACTTTGAGACTACTTTTTCCGGAGTAGTATCATTTGCGTGGGAGGATATATCAAAGGACCCTCTTTCGTCCACGCTGGATGTATCTCATTGTCCTTGATACGCTAAATTTGTCGATTGGATAGTCAATATTCATGTTCCAACTTCATCAGGTCTACTTGGTCACTTTATAGTGTGGGCTTTTGGTCATATTCTCGATTCTTTGTTTCACTATCGTTGGAAAAAGGAGGGTCACTCATCATCATCTACTCATCTATCTGACAACGTGTCGATATTTCCTGCACTAGCATTGTTACTGCGTAGCCACCCACTTATTCTTCCTCGCAATATTCCGACTCTGGATGAGATTGATCTTTGGTATCAAAAGAAGGGCGCCGTGACTTGTCCGGTTATAGTTTGGATGGTACATCAGGTCTCCTTTGGTAATTTACATGCAGCCTTGTTTTCATGGGTTCATGTCTTATTACCACAGTTTAAAAAACAACAAGTCTCCCCTCCTCACTCAAGGGAATTCATACTGCAGTTGGTTGAGATAATTATTTTTGAGCACCCAGGGGCTAAGACCAAACTCGTACAGTCTCCTACTCTTTGTGATATTCCACTGTTTCCACTTAGTTTGTTCGAGATCTTGCTGCGCGCTACATTCCCTGCCACAACAGAAGAGGAGGATACAACGAGGTTACTAAAAATTTATACCTCGTTAAAGGATGTGGCTCTTGCCTGTGCATTACTAGACAAGCAACTCCCTAGATTTATGTTCACTTTGTCTTTGACATTAGCTGGTGAAGGAAATCCTGGTTTAGCAAAAGAAGCTATAGAAATTGCTATCTGGTGTATGGAAAACGGTGATTGCTGGGAGGACTGGTACGATTTGTGTAAAGTGAATTTAGAAGCTAGTCTCGCTCTTCTTAAAACGCTTACAGAGAAAGAAAATTTAAACCTCAACCTCCTCCTACCTTCATCAAAGCATGATTTCATCCAACACATGTTCACTGTTTCTTTGATACTAGTTGGAGAAGGGAATCCTTTTTTAGCCAAGGAAGCTACAAAAATCTGTATCTGGTGTCTGCCCCAACTCGATTGCTGGAGCCATTTGATTTATAAAAATCTCTATACGAAGAATCTAGAAGCTAGTGTTGTTGCTCTTCTTAAAGCACTTGTGGACGAATGGCCTGCTCTTTCCCTCAAACTTCCATCATCATCATCAGGGAAACCGTTCATTAAACAGATATTCACTTTTTTCTTTGGTATTAGCTGGAGAAGAAAATCCTTTGTTAGCCAAGGAAGCCACAGAAATCGCTATCTGGTCTCTGTCCCAAAACGTTGATTGCTGGACGTGCTGGGAGAATCTCTGCGGTAAGGAAAATGCAAAAGCCAGTGTTGTTCTTCTTAAAACGCTTATAGAGAGATGGAATGTGCTTTCCCTCGAACTATCAACCAACGCAATGAAACTAATCATTGAAAAGATGGCCACTTCTTCTTTGGAAGTAGCTAGAGAAGGTATTCGTATCCTTCATACTGTTGTTCCAGGAAATCCATTTTTACTAGGGGAAGCATCAGCAGTCGCTATTTGGTCTCTGACTGAAATCGTGGAGTGCTGCGACAACCATTGGGGCGATCTCTATATGAAGATTCTAAAAGATAGTGGTACTCTTCTTAACAACCTGGTTGAAAAATGCAAGGATCTTTCCCTTAAATCATCATCATTACCAGAAAGGGAGGCAGTGAACCAAGTCTTTCATCAGATATTCACTTTTTCTTTGAGATTAGCTGGCAAAGAAAATCTTGTTTTAGCCAAGGAAGCTATAGCAATCTCTATCTGGTCGCTCACCGAAAACTTTGATTGCTGCACGCACTGGGACGATCTCTACGAGGAGAATATAAAAGCTAGTGTAGCTCTTCTTAAAAAGCTTGTACACGAATGGAGTGATCATTTCCTCAAACTATCATTATCACCCAGTGACACTCTCACTTTAAGTCAAACTATTAAGAGTTTCAGGCTAAAGAACCAAAAGGCCATTGCCGAAGGAGGAGCCAATGGTTATCTCTTCAAGGAGGCTGACAATTTATGCAAAGTGATTTCGGGGAGACTGTCTCGTGGTAGTTGCAGCCTCAAATGTGCATGCACTACTTCTGTGGTTCTAGTTGCTGCACTTGTTTCTCTCTATCAGACCGTGTTTGGTTTGTACAAGTAGTAGTGGGTTTCGTAATTACAGTCTCAAAGTTGGGATTCAGATGTCCAAAAAAAAAAGTGCACAAGACTAGGATCCATTATTTATTATTTTTATTTAAGTTTTATTATTTCATTATCTTATTATATAAAGCTTGATTCTCTAAAGTTATTAATTAACACGTTTGCGACACATGACAATTATACATTTAACATTGCGACATATGTTAAAATACAAATCAGATAATAATTAAAAAATGTTAATTATCCTTTAAAAAAATAGTAATTATCTTTTAAAAAAATTAAATCGTAATTGTAAAAAAGCCTTAAAAAGGAAAACCTGTTTATCTTAGAAAATATTAATTATCCTTTTATATAAATTTAACATTAATTTTCCTTCTTTCAAATAACAACAAAAAGATAATCCTAAAAAATAAATTAGTTATTGTGCTTTTAAAAAATACCAATTATTGTTTGCAATAATGTAATTATAAAAAACCTTAAAAAGAAAAAAACAAGAAAATATAATTGTAAAAAACAAAACAATTATCCTTTTAAAAAAATAGTAATTATCCTTTTAAATAAGATTAAATCGTATTTGTCTTAATAAACAGATTAAACTCGCCTAAAAAGAAAAATCAGTTTAATGCTAATTAAATCAAACACAATTTTATATCAATTTTTTGTATCAATTTGGTTGTTGAACATTGTATATTTATATCAATTGATTGGGTATTTGTAATGAATTTTGTTTAAAATAACATTATTGTATAACACAATTTTGTTACAGATGTAATCGTATATATAAAGAATAAGGAGAAAATAGATGTTTGTAATAAGACACCACATGTCCTCTTAAAAGTTATTTTAGTTTTTTTATTAGAAATATATATTTTCCAATTCTAATTATATTAATGAGTTTGTAACTATAAAATAAATCTCACACAATTTATGCAAAAAAAAGAATCGTAAATCTATAATAAAGTTATTTATTATTTTATGTTTTTATTAAATTAAAACATCAAACAAAACTCGTTGCAACACACATGCCTTATCTAGTAAATTATAAATACATTAAGATAGCTTTAGATTTTTTACCACAAAATAGTACAAAAAGATCAAAATGATAACATTATTTTTCATTTAAAAAGCAAATGACAATTATACTCCTACTTTATAAATATATAAAAAATATTTGTTTAGATAAATATTTTAATAAAAAATATTTTTTTTTTGTCATCAGTTTAAACAGATTCAACTTGGCGCTACTAATCAAAAATAAGATTATGTGTCCATGTGGAAAAAAAGACACAGTTGTAAACGAGCATCACATGAAATATTATCCGTCATTGTATTTTGAATCTTTGGAATATGTTTGAGTTCTGATCTTCGAAAACTTTCCTTCAGAATCTTCATTTCTTTGAGATACATTGCAAAGGTAAACAATTTTTTGGTTCCAAAAACCATCTTCACAATCTGATAATAATCTGTTACAAAAGTCTCACCAAATTTTTGTAGCTTTTTCATATATTCCATCGCCTAGATAAATGCTTCAATCTCTGCGTGTAAGTAAATAAACTTTCTTTGAAATTTCTTGTCTTAGCAGCCCCTTAAAACCTCGAGTATATATACCAACCATGACTTGAATACAACCCCTCATCTTTCGAGGACCCATATGTGAAACACCATTTTCCTAATCTTGGTTGAGAAATTTGTGTTTCCTCCTCTCTTTGAGGCGAGGGAATGATTTTAATACCGGTCTGTACATACCTTGATTGTGCCTCGAATCACAATGTCGCTTCCATCTCTATCAATTGAAAAGTATCTCCTTGATTATTATCAATGCCATTAAAATTATTATATTGTCTCTCCTTTCATGTATACCACATAATCCATGCAAAATGATGATCATTAACATGATCTGTAATCCTCCAAAAAAAATAGTTCATATATGTATATACGGATTGTATAGGGAAATTCTTTGGATCAGTGGAAATTTTTGACGGGTCCATATTTGAAAGATGGATGGCATTCAAAAAATACATGATTAATGGTATCTCATATTCTCTTCTACATCACACCTTTCACACTATAAATCACATTTTATTTTTGTAGATTGTAGATTTTTCCGTACCGATAATGATCTTGAAATGACTAGCCACATGAAATGTTTCAATTTCGGTGAACATTTAGTTTTCTAGGCATGTTCCTGCAACTCCTTTGTATATGTGCCATAAAAAGGTACATTTCATGTTTAATCTGGGTAGCAGCGTTCAACTGCGTATCCAAATTTCATGATGCATCGTCCAGACTGAGTAAAGTGTCATTTATCTTTATCAGAAGATTACATCCTACTTATTGGAATATTTTCTATAAGTGTTGCATCCTATTGTTCTATCAAATTCCTAATTACCTGCATTTTCCACGTACTTGGGGTAGGGTTGATGAGCTGGTCTACCTTAAGTGAATGATTTAAGTCAACTAACTGATTTATTGTTTGCTGGTCTCGGGCAGATCAATGAGAGCTATGGATTTTGTCATACTAAGATGGATTATCCTGATTTCACCCTTTTAGTCCTTTACTAACCAGAGATCTAGCAGAGATAATAATTCGTCAACCATAAGATGTCGAGTATGATATAATTGGTTATAGGGGGCTCGTACTTCTAAAATAACAACCCTTAAAAACCCTTGCAAATAAATGATTTAGTTTTTTCAATCAGACGCCAAAATTGCTTTCCCAACATTAAAGTCATATAATGCTTTAAATCATATTCCTCTTTCATCTTTAGTTTCACATAACTTATCCCAAGCAATCCAATGCATCTCTTTGACATTCCCTTAGGTGATCCACCAAAACTGAGATATAATGCTTGTGAGCTTTAATGTTACTTCTTTTGGAAGCTGGAAGCAAGACATGACATGATTAGACATTACTATCGCCACTGATCTTATTAGTACTCTTTACCACCCTCTGTGAGATATTTGCTTGTCCACCCATTTACTCTACTATGCATCATGTCTTGTAAGAATCCAAAAATCTGAGTTTTCGATCCTCCCAGACTTTCTCGAATTCCCAAATATGATCCCATGCCTTCAGTGTTATGATTCCCTAATATATCATACATGTCCTTCCGAGTTGTGTCTCAATCTTATGATCAAATTGTATTGATGATTTTGAAAAGTTTATTTGTTTCCCAAATACTATTTCATATACCTGAAGGATCTGTAGTATCGTCAGACATTCCTCCTTTTGTGCCTTGTAAAATAAAATAAAATCATCTGCAAAGTTCATATGATAGATTTTCGGGTTGCTCTTGCTACCTTCAATCCCGTTAATTTATTTTCCTTCTCTGCTTTCTGAATATTTGCAATCAACTCAAATATAGAACCCACAAGCTATAGAAGCAATGTTGGATAATATACTTACTCTATACGAGGCCGGACTTGGCATTTTTGTTGGAGTTGCTAGCCGTTATATGAAAAGTCCTCACACATCACATATATAGCTTATAAAGCATATCCTTTGATATCTCGAAGGAACAATGTCTATCAATATGAAATACAATCGCACGAGAGTAAAGAAAATTGTTGGGTTCAGCGACAATAGTCACAACATTGATAAATACAATGAAAAGAGTACTACAGGTCATACATTCTACTTCGAAGAATCACTTGTTACATGGTGTTCTCAAACAAAAATGTACGGTGGCTCTGTCATCAAGTGAGGCAAAATTTATGGTAACAACAGAAGCAGCACGGCAAGCTGTTTGGCTTCAAGACCTCTGGGCAAGATAACGGGATGGAAGACAAAGCAAGTGTTGATAAAGATCGACGTCAACTCAATAGTAATACTTACAAAGAACCCGGTATTTCATGGTAAAATCAAGCACATACACAGTTACCATATTATACAAGAGTTCATTGAGATAGAACTTGTTGACGTGGATCATGTGTTGGGAATTTGTTGATATCTTGATTGAGTAATTGACAAAAATCAAATTTGGTGAAATGAGAAAGATGATAGGAATGCAAGACATGTCTGAAAGGTTAAAGTTTAAGAAGGTAAATGTAAATAAACTTAGCTTATAGCCCAAGCTATTTTTTACAAATTGGTTAAGGATAATTGATAGGAAACAAGAAGTTTTCTATATACC